TATTGATTTTGTACAGACAGGAAGGGAGAGAGATCAAGAGTTAGAAACATCAATGAGAGAGAGTCATCCATCAGCTGCCTCTTTCACACTCCCCACTGGGGATATGCCCGCAACCAAGGCACATGCCCTTGACCGGAATCGAACCCGGGACCCTTCAGTCCCCAAGCCGACGCTCCATCCATTGAGCCAAACCGGTTTCAGCAAGCTGGTTATTTCTGAATAGGTAAGGTTTATGAAAGTTGTAAAAAGGTCTGTGAAAGTTTTATTTTAAAAAATCTTAAAAGGAAATTATAGAAGTAAGCTAAATAATGCATTCAATTAAATACATAAATTTAAAAATCAAAAGTAAATTAATACAGAGTTAGAAGTTGATTCTTTTTCACTCTGTTAAAAGGACAAGAATTTTCCTCTGGCTTTCCAAATATAAGGAGACTTCTTTAAAAAAAATAAAAAAAATTGGTATGCCTGGCCAGTGTAGCTCGATGGTTTTAAGTATATTTAAAAAAAAAAAAAAAAGGATTTTGAACATTGTATTTTTCTCTCTACCTAATCCCTCCAAATTTTGAAAACTGAAGTACTACTATTTTCATGGCAATATGTTTGTGTTTTTTGTTTGTTTGTTTTTGCATGATTTCAATAAGCCCAGTTTTCAATTGTGGTTTTATTAACCAAGACTCTGACTGGAGTGTCCTGCCTGAGAGAGACATGCCTGACTCTGGATGTCACCAGAAAGCCTGAAGGAGTACAAATGGACTCTGAAGCCAAAAAGCCCCTTGGAGAAATGGTCAGGCACCTTACTTGGTCACATGGCAGTCTTTCCAGGTAAGTAACCAATCTTCCTGAGAGATGGCAAGGACGGAACCTCAAGAACTTGAGAAAGTCACCCAAGCCTATACTTATTGCAGTCAAACCTGATGGCAACTAGGGGGCTTGGCTTCTTTGCCCTGAGGGGCTACTTAAAGCTCGAACATGGGATTCCAGCAAAAGACTTAAGAAAGCCTCGCCCACCTGGTGTGGCCCATGGTTGAGAAGGCTATATGAACTATAATGGGAAGTCACAGTTCCCTTCCCCATCAGGGCACATGCCTGGGTTACAGGCTCCATCCCCAGCGTGGGGTATACAGGAGGCAGCCAATCAAAGCTTTTCTCTCATCATTGATGTTTCTATCTCTCCCTCTATCTTCCTCTCTAAAATCAATTTTTAAAAAAATATATTTTTTTTTTAAAAAGAAAGCCTATTTAGTCGATTGCTATTCTTACTGTGTTTATGCAAACAATTGAAACTGGACTTAATACAACACACAAATTGATCTTAATTTGGCTTTCTATTAAAAATGAGGGTAATTTTATGATTTAATTTTTTTTAAAATATATTTTATTGATTTTTTACAGAGAGGAAGGGAGAGAGATAGAGAGCTAGAAACGTCGACAAGAGAGAAACATCAACCAGCTGCCTCTTGCACACCCCCTACCGGGGATGTGCCTGCAACCAATGTACATGCCCTTGACCGGAATCGAACCTGGGACCTTTCAGTCCGCAGACCGACGCTCTACCACTGAGCCAAACCGGCTTCGGCCAAAAATGAGGGTAATTTTAAATGGGAAATTGTTTCAATAGGCTCTATAACCCAAAATTGTAAATATTAGACTCCAGTTCAGTTGAAAGCTTTATATTTTTCCCCTATAAACTGGACTGGATCATGAATTTTTCTAATTTTCTTAAATATTTGGCTACAACCCCCAAAACTGTTTTTTTCCTCCCATCCTTTTACTTAGAATTAATGAGAATAAAAACCTTTTTTCCCTCCACTGGATCATTTCTCATAATTCTTGCCATTCTAGCTTTTGCCCCAATAATATTAAGTTTTTTCAAAGTTTTAAATATATTTTTATTGATTTCTGAGAGGAAGGGAGATAGAAACATCAATGACAGAGAATCATTGATCAGCTGCCTCCTGCACATCCCCCACTGGGGATCCAGCTTGCAACCCAGGCATGTGCCCTTGACCGGAATCAAACCTGGGACCCTTAAGTTCATAAGCCGACACTCTATCCACTGAGCCAAAAGGGCTAGGGCCAGTACTAAGATTTTTAACAGTTTGTCGCCACCATGTTACAAACCCTACTCCTACTCAGGAATACCACCTCTAAACACCACCGTCCCCTCCTTCTGTCCTCAGATCTCATTACTCATTTGCCAATGAGCAAGGATCTCTTAGCTCTGAAGGAAAACGTCACCCCTCTTCAGCAGGAAGCAGCCACAGAAGAGACTCTGACCTCTTTTCTCTGAAAGAATCCAGAGCCAAGATCCTTGAGTGGGGGGATGTACACAGTCAGGCACGAGCAGACCAAGGACGGTGTGCCAGACACAGAAGGTCACTAGGGCAGAAGGCCCTGGGTGCCTAGCAAAGGATGATGGTAGGTGGGACCTCCTCCCCAGGGTGACCTTTCTCCCCCTAGCCTAGCATATTGCTGCTCCTGTGCTTTGGGTTTGGACCCCCTGACCTTTCCTCCCTAGAGGCCTCCGTTGTATTTCAGCTCCAGGCCCAGAAAAGCAGCCAAACCAGACAAGTGACACCACAACTGACCTCAGGACCAGCTGCATCGAATGATGACCCCTGCCCTGCAGACCCGGGCCCTGGAAGGACACACCTGGAAAGCTGCTGAATATTCTACTGAGATTTCCCCCTAAAACCTCCACCCTTAAAACCCTAGGACAGAGGATCCGGAGTGCTCTCCCTCCCGGGAGCATGCAGGTGCCCTTCTCTTCCTCCTCCCCTTCCCCCCAGGGGATCTCCTTTACCTTCACTTCTGAGCTCCCACGTCCCTTCCTCTGCCTCCATAACGTGTTTCCTAAGCCCATTCCTCCTACAAATTACTTTTCTTATCTGTGATTTTATAAACTTTCTCTTATAGTTTCGAGCCTTTGCTCTGAATTCCTGCTGAGTGAATTCAAGTACCGAGGGTGCTGAGCCCAGCTCCTGTCTCACCCCATGGCTGAAACACCTGGTGCTTGTCCCTGCCACCCACAACCAAAGGATGTTACATTGGGCCTGGCCGGTGTGGCTCAGTGGTTGAGCGTCGACTTATGAATGAGGAGGTCAGGGTTTGATTCCTGCTCAGTGCACATGCCCAGGTTGTGGGCTTGATCCCCAGTAGGGGGCGTGCAGCAGGTAGCCCCTCAATGATCCTCTCTCATCATTGATGTTTCTTTCTATCTATCTATTTATATATTTGAAATATATATAATGCTTGTTACATTGGAGATAAGGGAAGACCAACTGGTGTGACCAAGAGATGAGAGTGTAGGGATGAGGTCCGCTGGATCCCCAGAGATTTGTCATGCTGTGGGTCATGGTACTGCCCCCGAAGGCCAGACAAAGGTTAGGGAGACAGCGGTTGATGCTGTGACTAGTCTGAGGCGGGTAACCCACCCTTGACTTGTACCACCCTCAGTGGGAGGTTGGAGCCTGGGGCCCCAAAAGTTATCAACAGAAACCAGTGAATTTGGAACAGATGACTCCAAAAGCCGGAGAAGCAGGCCTCGGACCCTGGATGGCCATTTGGCGAGCTGGTCCCTTCCTGTACCCAATCCAGAATTTTACCTATCCTAAGGGAGCCAAAAGCTGTTTTCCCATGGACCTGAGACAAGACCCCAGGCGTCTCTCCCAGGCTGCTGTGAAAGACCTTGCCCTTTCAAATTTTTTTAAAATATATTTTTATTGATTTTTTACAGAGAAGAAGAGAGAGGGATAGAGAGTTAGAAACAGAGATAAGCTGCCTCCTGCACACCTCTTACTGGGGATGTGCCCACAACCAAGGTACATGCTCTTGACCAGAATCAAACCTGGGACCTTTCAGCCCGCAGGCCGACACACTATCCATTGAGCCAAACCAGTTTCTGACAAGGCCTGGAGTTAAGACTGGATGATCATGGAGGGCGCTGCCCAGCTGGAGTCCTAGGCCAGGGCGGTCCTTCATTGGAGCCGGTCAGGAGCCAAGCAGGAGGCTCCTCCACTGGGAACATCCTCATCAGCACTGTCTGATTGGACTTTTTATTTGTTTATTTATTTTTTAATATATTTTATTGATTTTTTTACAGAGAAGAAGAGAGAGGGATAGAGAGTTAGAAACATCGATGAGAGAGAATCATTGATCAGCTGCCTCTTGCACAGCTCCCACTGGGAATGTGCCCGCAACCAAAGTACATGCCCTTGACCGGAATCGAACCCGGGACCCTTCAGTCCACAGGCTGATGCTCTATCCACTGAGCCAAACCGGTTTTAGTTGATTGGACTTTTTAAAACACATATATTTTTTATTGACTCAGAGAGGAAGGAAGAGGGAGAGAGATAGAAACACCAATGATGAGAGAAAAATCATTAATCGGCTGTCTTCCATATGCCTCCCGCAACCCGGGCATGTGCCCTATCAGGGAACCGAACTGTGACCTCCTAGTTCATAGGTCGATGCTCACCCACGAAATCACACTGGCCAGGCTGACAGAACTTTTTATGTTGATGCCCTGGAAAGATGACTATTGTGACTCAGGAATTGAACTCTTAATTGTATTTAATTTTAATTAATTTGCAATTAGATCACAGTAGCCAGATGTGACTACCAAGCCTATATTGGACAAAGCAGCATGTAGCTGAAGACCCAGACTGGATGGAGGTAGGAACCAGGGACAGGAAAGTAAAAGCTTACTTTCAGGGTCTCAGGGTGCTGATTTTGGCCAGAGAACTGGGGCCCCAGGGAAGGGAGAGAGAACACAGCATGTAGCTTCACGGAGCAGAGGCATCCTGGTTTCCTGGAGTCAACGTGCTTGCTCACGGTACACACTCAGGCCGGTGAGCACACGGGATGGCGTGCTCCGGGACACCCACCGTCGTTCTTGGGTGCGATCTCGGGGTTCCGACCCCATGCACGGCCCCAGAGAGCACCTGAGGACGCACGCCGTGTGGTCTCCCAGGCGCACGCGGGCCAGGGAGCGAGGGCCGCTAGTGCAGCAGGTCTTGCAGGAAGGCCCACATGTGCTGGTGCATTTCCTTAGGGTGGCTCTGCGGGATCCAGTGCCCCGCGCCTGGCAGGGTGTGGGCTTCCAGCCGGCCGGGCACAAAGCGCCTGCCGATGGCCCCGACCAGCCCCTGCTCGAAGTAGGGGTCCTTCTCCCCCCACAGCAGCAGGGTGGGCGTGGCCAGCTCCTGGGGCTCCAGGGGGAAGTTCCTGTGACAGACAAGACAGGCAGAGAAGGATGGCAGCCCTCCCCCCTTCCCCACCAACGCTCCCCGGCTTCTGCCTGGGCCCGGACTTACCGGAAGATGTTCCGGTAGTAGTTGAGGGGCCCGGTGAGGCCCCCAGGCTGGGTGAAGTCATAAAGAAAGGCCTCCAGCTCATCGGGGCTCAGGCGTGGGATGCCCCTCTTTCGGTGGCTGAGGGTGCTCTTCAGGATCTGAGGACAAAGCCAGACTCTGGCTTCAGTGCTCCATCTACCCAACCACCTGCCCTCCCTCCACCCACAACCACCCCCGGCCTTCCCTCCGCTTCACCTGGAAGTCAGACATGGACAGCAACTTCTCGGGCAGCCAGGGAAGCTGGAACAGGAACACGTAGTTGGAACGGAAGAGCTGGCCGATGTGGCGCACTGCGTACTCTAGGGGGAGGGGAGCGCAGACATGAGGCCTGGGCCTGGGCGGCTCCACATGCCTGTGCCCCTAAACACACCCTGGTCAGGCACACGGACGCACCAACGTTCAGGCACGCGACCGCAGCCCGTCTGAGCTGTGAAGACACCGGACCTCCCCGTGACCCTGGCACCAGCTGCCCTTCCTGCCGAGGAGGCCCTGTACCTACAGAACGGGGCACCTCCCTCTGCAGCTCCTGGGCGCGCCCACCTCCACTGTGTGCTTTCCTTGCCCAGGCCTGCTTCGTCCAACCAACACTTACTGAGCACCTACTGTGTGCCCGGCCCTGTTCTAGACTCTGGAGACACAGTGGTGAGCAGGACAGACCAAACTCCCTTACACTCAGGGAGCTAACAGTCTAGAGATGGAAACAGGCAAGAAGCAACAACGAGAGAGAGAGAGGAGAGAGAGAGAAGAGAGACTGAGAGACAGAAGTGGGAAAGAAAGGGGTGGGGGAAAAACAAGTATTCAGCAGTGACTACAATACTAGCAATTAAAACCAGGTGATGTGCCAAAACCGGTTTGGCTCAGTGGATAGAGCATCGGCCTGTGGACTGAAAGGTCCCAGGTTCGATTCAGGTCAAGGGCATGTGCATTGGTTGCGGGCACATCCCTAGCAGGAGGCAGCTGATCGATGTTCTTCTCTCATCGATGTTTCTAACTCTTTATCCCTCTTCCTTCCTCTCTGTAAAAAATCAATAAAATATATTAAAAAAAATAAAATAAAAAAATCAGTGACGTGATGAGTACTGGGTCGCCAGAGACGGCATCTGATGCTATTGTAGTTGCTTAGTGACCTATGCCCTCACTGCCAGAATAAAGCCATTTGACTTCTCTCAGTTTCCCCAACTGGACCATGGGGATAATTACACCTTCCTAAGCCGAGGTGGCTTGGGAAGGTTACTGTACGAGGCTCCTTGTCACAGAAGTTATCACAGTGAGTAACTCCTAAGGGACTGTCATCGATTGCAGATTAGGAGTGCCCCAGGGGAAGGGACCCAGGCTCACGGCTGACCCTGCAGCCCCAGGAGTGTTGACGGATGGACAGAGAGGGGTGGGCACAAACACATGCTCCTTCAAACAGACCCATCCCAGCCCCCTGGACTCCCGGACACACCTTGGTACACGGACATGGGGGCGGCACTGACCACCACCATCCGCTCCACCAGGGATGGGTAGTAGATGGAGAAGTTCCAGGCTATAAGCGCACCCCAGTCGTGGGACACAAGGATGCACTTGGAGTAACCTGAGGGATGGGAGGAAACGGAGGAAGTGAGGCACCAGGCAGAGGTGAGTCAGGGGTGGGGAAGGCCAAGGCAGGGATGGGGACACATCCCCACCCAGGCCCAGGATGACATCCTGGATGTCTGCTGTGAGCAAGTCGACAGTGTAGGAGTCCACATCCTTTGGTGCATCAGAGCAGCCGTAGCCACGCAGGTCCACAGCCACCACGTGAAATCGGCTCTGGAACTCCCGGAGCTGGTAGCGCCAGGAGAACCTGTCGAGCAGGCGGAAGAGGAAGGGAGGTTGAGTCAGGGTCCCCAGGTTGCACCTCCTTCCACACCTGGCAGAGGCCCACCCAGGGCTGTGGGAACATTGACTCATTCTTCTTTGTCTCATCCCTTGGGGCCCCTGGTCCCTGGGGCCTCCTATAGAACTGTCCCATTATATCTGTTTGCCGCCCCCAGTGTACCCAGCCCTGGTCCTGCCTCCTGGGTATCCTGATGGTCTGAGTTCCCCACCCCCGAGCCCTGTGCACCCAGTCAGTCCCCTGGGCCGCAGACATACCAGTTCTCGGGAAAGCCGTGCAGAAAGAGCATGAGGGGCCCGTTGCCGCGTCCAGCAGAGACATAGTGCAGGCGCAGGCCCGAGCTCTGGGGGAGGTACAGCCCAAGATCTGAGGAACCCCGCTTCCTTATGCTTGAAACCCTCCCTTCCAACACCTCCCACCTCCCCAACCCCACCTGGGCCTTAGATTTGGATGCAATACTCAACACTCAGCTCAGGAAGCCGCAGCCCCGCCTCCCAGCCTGCTCCAGCCCCGATGGCCGCCCCGATGGCCTCCGCTCACCTTGAGGGTCAGGAAGCAGTGCTCCCCCAGCTCGGGGTCGCTCAGGCAGACGGGCGCCGTGTGCCGGGGGCGCCCGCAGCAGCCGCGCCGCGGCCGGCACAGCACGTGCGTGAGCGCGATGCAGCCGTAGAAGGCGGCGGCCACCAGCGCCGCCGAGAACACCAGGCTCCACATGCAGGCGCGCAGCAGCTTCAGGGTGAGGCGCGACGGCGCCAGCAGGGCCGTCACCACCAGCTCGGGCATGTCGCCGCGGTCCGGCACCGCGGTGCTGCTGTCGGGACTCAGGGCCGGGGGCGCGCGGGGCAGCAGCGGCGAGGCGGGGTCCGGGCTGCGGGGCCCCCCGCCTTTAGCCTGGGGCCCCTCCGTGCCGTCGGGGTGCGGGGAGCGCGCGGAGAGAACGCGACTTACCTGAGTGCCAGCTGATCACCTACCTCCCTGGGCGCGACGGGCACGGGGGACCAGACTAGGGTGCAGATTAGGCTGCGAGGACCAGGCTCCTGTGGGCAGGGCTTGGCAGGTGGGCGGGGCCTAGGAGGATTCCCGTGGCAGGTGGGTGGAGAGTTTAACTCCAGAGGGAGGCGGGAGTCCTGCAAGAACAGGGAAGTGGGGGTGTCCTGCGTGAAACCCGAGGAACCTGGGCCGAGAGGGCGGGAACTGAAGGACAGGTGTGGCCCACGGTGCCGGAAGGGTGGACCCCACCTGGCCCGGGAGCCTTGTAAGGGTTTGGGGGCGTGGCTTAGGCGCGTGGGCGGATCCCGGAAGAGGGGGCGGGGTCTAACTTTGGGCAGGGAAGGACTGAGCAAGAAACCTGGGCCAATGAGGCGAGGGGGCGGGGCCAGAAGCCAATATGGCGGGCCAGGCGGACCCGGAGGTGTGAGGAGGGGGCGGCCCGCGCCGCCGCTGCGGTTAGGTGGGCGGCTGGGGCTGTTGCCGCGGACTGAGAAGGCCTCCCTCAGGAGTCCCCGGACGCCATCTCCCGGGAGTTCCCCTCCCCGGGGGAGTGCGCGACCCACCCTTCGGCCTGGCTCCAGGGGAGCTACCAGCACCTTCCCCCAGCCCGGGTTTCAGCGGTGGGTCCGCTGGACCGCTGCGAACACACAGCACTGGCCGGCAGAGTCCGCCTTGGTCTTTTGGTCCTTGGTTGGCCCTGCGCCGCGCAAGGGTCACAGAGGTACCTGCAGCCTCAGTTTTAGGTCAGGGCTGCCGCCTGCTTAAAAGAAACAGGTTGCATGGGTGGTTCAGTGGTAGAATTCTCGCCTGCCACGCGGGAGGCCCGGGTTCGATTCCCGGCCCATGCAGTTAGTTTCACTTTTGGTCCCACCGCTCTGTTCCCGTTGCAACTCAACGCCCAACACCTCCCTGATCTCTATTCACCAACCAGATACCTTTGAGTCCTGCCATTCACTACAAAGGAACACATTCACTACAAAGGAACACGAGTAGCCTGCACAGAGCTGGCACTTGCACACTCCCCTTGACTGCCTTTCATCACGCTCTAGCTCTCCCCCACCCTACGCTGGCAAAACTCCCCCAGCCACTCTTAGGAGATGGAGACACCGTGTCCTCCTGTAAGACCACAGGCCAACATGGCGCACAAGTAGGTGGGACTGGGCCGCGTGCTGCAGAGGCAGAAGAAAATTTCCCCTGAGAGGGAATCAAACCCCGGGCCGCGGCACTAAGAGTGCAGAACCCTAACCACTAGACCACCAAGGATTAGCACACTAGCATGTGAGCAAGTGTCTCATGTATTAAAGCACTCCTGGGCCACCTACGCGGAGCTTCCACAGTTCCAGTTTTCCTTGCTTTTCCAAGTATAGATGCCCTCTCTCCCCTGCCCACTTCCTGCCCACGCACCTTCAAAACACTACACACCTCCTCCTGGCACTAACATGGCCCAGGTCGCAGGTCCGGAGTCCAACACCCCTCGCAGGTACTGGGGGCAAAAGAACTGCATGGCTGCCTTGGTCAACTGCTTGGGAGGCAGCTGTGCTAACCACTATACCACCAACGCGGCAGCAGAATAAGCTGCAGCCAGACCTGTTTTGCCATTCCCGAGGGAAGTGAATGGAAGATGGAGCCTCCACAGGTCAATGTCTCTTCCATACATGCACATCTTCACGGCTCTCAGAATGACTCTCCGCCATGTACTGCCTAGAAAGCTAGATCTCTCTGTAATTGCTACAGAGCCTAAAAGGAAAATATGCCCAAATGGAAAGAAACATTCCAAAGATGGATGAGTGAAACTGTCAGCCCTTTACCAACATTTGCCAAACCTTGAGATATTAAAAAAAAAGAAGAAAAAAAAAAGACTCTCCTAGTTTTATAAATGAAGTCTTTACAGGGCCAGAGGTGTGTCTCCAGAAACAGTTCAAAGCCCACCAAATCTTACCTTAGCCATCTTTTATTTTTATTTATTTATTTAAAAAATATATTTTATTGATTTTTAACAGAGAGGAAGAGAGAGAGATAGAGAGCTAGAGACGTCGATGAGAAACATTGGCCAGCTGCCTCTTGCACACCCCCTACTGGGGATGTGCCCACAACCAATGTACATGCCCTTGACCGGAATCGAACCTGGGACCTTTCAGTCCGAATACCGACGCTCTACCACTGAGCCAAACCGGCTTTGGCTTATCTTAGCCATCTTTTAAAATGCACATTTCTGGGAGGTAATTATTTTTTTTAATATTTTTTTATTGGTTTCAAAGGGGAAGGAATAGGAAGAGAGAAATAGAAACACCTATATGAGAGACAATCATAGATTGGCTGCCTCCTGCACACCCCGCAGTGGGGATCAAACCCAAAACCTGAGCATGTGCCCTGACTGGGAATCAAACTGTGACCTCTTGGTTTATACATTGACACTCAACCACTGAGCAACACCTGCCCACCTGGGAGGTAATCTTATTGAAAAAAACCTTAGCCACTTAATCAGATCAATTAACTCATCTCAGCTGTAACATATTGCTTGCTAGACAAGTCTTAAGTTCACCTACTTTTGGCCCTTTATTATAAAAAAAAAAAATAGAGGCTTAGTACACGAAATCAGGTTCCCTACCTTTTTCATTCCTTCTTCCCTCCTCTGTTTCCATCCACCCCCAGTTCCCTGTCCCAGCATGGGGCCAGGCCCTGATCAAGTGATCAGGACTTGCCAACTGCAGAGAGGGACCAGGAGAGTGGACAGCAGGCCCCATCGGCAATTGGAGCCTGTGGATTGGGGGCAGCACCTGCATTGAGCGTCTGCCCCTTGGTGGTCAGTGTATATCATAGCAACCCGTTGTTCCATCCTAACAGTTTCTTAGACTTTTATATAGAGAGATGCTTAAAAATGAATTTGGAGCTGGTAGTGTCTTATATTTTTAAATATATATATTTTATTGATTTTTTGCAGAGTGGGAGAGCGATAAAAATTAGAAACATCGATGAGAGAGAATCATTGATCAGCTGCCTCTTGAACACCTCCTACTGGGGATGTGCCGACAACCAATGTACATGCCCTTGACACGAATCAAATACGGGGGACCCTTCAGTCTGCAGGCCAACACTCTATCCACTGAGCCAAACGGTTTTGGCAATTTTATTGATTTTTTTTTTTTTTTTTACAGAGAGGAAGGGAGAAGGATAGAGAATTAGAAACATCAATGAGAGAGAATCATCGATTAGCTGTCTCCTGTACAGTCCCCACTGGAAATGTGCCTGCAACCAAGGTACATGCCCTTGACTGGACTTGAATCTGGGACCCTTGAGTCTGCAGGCCAACAATCTGTCCACTGAGCCAAACTGGCTAGGGCTAATTGCTTGCTTTTTAGTAGTCACTAAAAATTAAGGTTTCCCAAGAATTAAGAATTCTAATTAATTGGGGGGAAAATTATGATTTTGGTGATAGAAGGTATAAAGCAGGGGTGGGGAATATTCAGCTCCCAGGCCATATAAAGTCCAAGAAATCGTTTGGTCTGGCCCTGCCAAGACATTAGGGTGAGTTAATTGTTGACCAAATATAGCAGACTAATTTTTTTTTTCGGCAACCAAATTCATTTATTAAGTCTAATAGTTTTGTTTTGTTTTTTTACAGAGTCTTTAGGGTTTTTTATGTACAATATCATGTCACCTGCGAATAAGGAGAGTTTCACTTCTTCTTTTCCAATTTGGATGTCTATTATTTCTTCTTGTCTGATTGCAATGGCTAATACTTCCAATGCTAGGTGAGAGTGGGCATCCCTGGAGCTGAAGTTATGCAGTTGGGGTGTCTGCAAGCAGTTATTCAAGTAGAGGAAATTCAGAATTTCTACTGCAGGGCAGCACACCCTTGTCTATACAGAATCACACCACCGGGGGCTCCCAGTGTCTCCCAGGTGCTGTCTACGGAGTGATGTGCCCTGGATGTCTATGCAGCTGGAGATGAGCGAATGTGGGGTCCAGAGTCCTGCCATGCTTCTCATTATGCTGACGCCACAATTTCCCTTCTCAAATTTCACTCCTTCATACTTGTATCCCGTTGGAGTGGTCACTGTGCATTCTTTATAAGGCAGCTGATTCAATCCCTCTTCCACAACAAGTCTGATCAAACGATCCGCAGAAAACATGAAGTCCCCTCTACTCGCTGTCCTTAGCTTGTGAGATTAGGAAGAGCACCAAAGGCTCCTTTAGATTCCTTTTCCTCCATTAATTGTACAGGAAACAGTTGATATTTTGTCCCTGATGATGGTCTGCAGCTCCCGGATCTGCTCATTCATAGGCAGCAGCTTAAGCTGAGCCCCAATCTGCGAGGAGAGTTGGCTGTCCCTTAGGAGGGAGTCGCCGGCCAATGTGTCATAGTTCTAGCAGGCTAATTTTTAAACTGATAAATTTTGTACGGCCCATGAAGAATGTTATAAATATCCAGCCTTTATATAATCCATTTACATTATAGAGAGATAGCATTTTCTTTTGCTTGACAGGTTGACATGCCCTCATGTGTTTTCCACTTAATCAGCAGAATCATTAAGGCACGGAGGGCTCTGATGGTCTCACTAAAAACACCTCTTCTGTGAAAATGATCACTATTAATAATTTAACAAACATGCCCCCTCAAAAGACTATAAAAGAAGAGGAATTATTATTCTTTCACACTTAAATCACAGATTACTCTGAAGTTGAACCAAAGCAAGTCCAGATTTAAAACGAGGGCAGGATTATGTTCAGCAATAATGATAAAGTTACAATGAAAAGCAAATCACAGAAAAATACAAAGTGACTTCTGTTTT